CGTGTAGACTACTGAAGAGTGAGTGAACTGATTTGCGCATAGGGTTATAAATCGTGAAACCCCGCAACTGTGTGATAAGTAATTGTAGCCGTTACTTGTAGATTGTTCAATAAACCAATTAACGATCTCTACGGCGTCTTCTGTAACGAAACACGTTACAATATTATAACTATTATCTGTTACTTAAGTGACATGTATGTCCGCACATCTGGTATTTATTTCAAGTAAGTTACATTTTTAAATAAATGCAACCCAGTAAACTGTATAATGTGTCTGTCTTTCAAATTGATAATAATGCATAAACGTTGGTAATTGGTGACATATGCTGAACAATAACAAAAGTACACAATTTGCACTGAAGTTTTCTGCCATTTGACAATGGTCCAAGGAATCGTAAGCCACTGAAATGCAATGATGTTAGAAAAATCGGTTAGGAAGTTACTGTGCAACAGTAACAATAAATAAGTGGCATATAAAATGTGATCCATAAACAAGTAAACTTGGTAATATATGCATGCGATTATATATATTTGTGTATTTATACGTGCAGAAATGAACAGTTGCATGAATGTTCAAATTCTCATAAGCAGGAGACTTAACACAATAAGTGTGTTTTCTTCAATAGCAATAACAGGATCACAGTTGGGATAGCTCAGCCAGCATAGCGACAGACTACTGGATGGATGACCCAAGTTCAATTTCTGGCAGTGCAAGATTTTTCCATTCTACAGTCTCCAGACCAACTCTGGGGCCCACCCAGCCTCCTATCCAATGGGCACCACATGCCCCTTCCACAGGGGTAAGGCGATAGAGGCATTAAACTGACCACTCCCCTCCATCTACTACCGAGGTCAAGAAAGGTGGAGCTATATTTCACTCCCCCAATATGTCTTCATATGTATTTTTTTAATAGTAACAGGATCAGAAGTAACCTTGAGGTAGGTAGACATTATTCCTGGACAGCTCTGAAAGCCATGCACAAAGATGGACAAAAGTAAAATACATTTTCATTTTTAAATACAAGGCAAGCGCTGGTTGGCCGGATTAGACAGCAAATTTGTGTACACTGCTATAAAGATTGATTTCAGTCCAAAAAAACACATACAATTTGTTTCTTGTTATCTAATCAACATAAAAGCTATGGTAATTATTTTGCACTACAACTTGCTATGTTCCCTAATAAGCGTGCATGAAAACTTTCCATAAGCTTCCTACTTGTGCAACATCAATAACATTTTAATCTTTATGCTCATGACTTACAACACACTGAACATCAGAGAATTATGGTGCTTCCCAATGGAGGTTTACAGAATTACCTCATGGGCAACTGGTATTTGCCATGAAGAGAAACATTATCTTTTTTTATTTTTATTGTTTTCATATTTTGGTATATTTGTACAAGAGAAAATTTATCGAAATGTGCACAACACCAAAGAACCAATAATTTGAAATATTTAAGAGACAATCTATAATGAAGACTCATATCAGCAGCAACACAACAGGCTCACTCCACATTACTGCAATCTGTGCATCTTCTCAGCTGTCATACTAACACACTATTTCTGACATGATTACAAATTTGTAATGTCTCAAATGTCTCATGGTCTAACTGGTCCAGGAATACACTCTAAACATTACTGCATCATTGAGATAGTCACACAATGCTTGGTAATTTGCCTACATTATTTGCTGAACATTCCAGTTAAAGGTTAAAGTGAAGGTAAGCATTGACCTCATGATTCTTGTACTCCCTGCAATTTACATCCTCCTGGAACTTACATAATTTTTCATTAATCCCCAGAAAAGAGTTAACTATGGGAATCCACTGTATTTACTAACCATTTAATATTGCAAAGTATTACATATTAAGTAATATAAATTGTTTAACTTAATAATATTGTATTTAAGGAGCATGTGGAAGTGGATTAAGAACAGAAAAAATTCAAAATGGGTTTTCATGAGTACAGCAATGAAACCTCCTGGCTCCAAAAAAGGTTGGGAAATTCTTGACTACCTAAGCTTAGATTCTCAAATACTCTGCTACATGGATTTAGTTAGTTATCAAAATACCAGGTATCATAAAAAACATAAAGATTATGGAAAATCTATGTGAAAAGAGTCTCTTATATGTGTTAAGTTGCTATAATCATAAATTACATAAAACTATCACCATACAAATCTGGCAGTGGATTACCACTATTTGTTCTGGCTTTACTTGTCACCAGAGCTCATCAGCATTATAACCATGTCAGAAAAGTGGTCCCACCTGTTGCATCATATTTTGCAAATAACTTGCATACATTTGTCTGTTGTGTTGCTGTGGTGTATCTACAGCCTAGAGTGTCAATTTAAAACACAGAGTTCTGTTTAGTTCATCTGTCTGAAGCATATTTAATGGTGCTCTTATCAACTTAGACTACAATGTTGGAATAACAAAATGATAGTGAATTGGAAAGGGTTCTGAAGGAAGAGGCCATGGCCTAATTTAAGGTATTACCCTAGTATTTGCCTGCTGGGATTGACAAAAACCATGAAAACCCTCAGTCGGGATAGTCCACAACCCACCTGAGATCTGAACTGGGCACCTTTCAAATGCTAGTCAGAAGTGTCACTGCTTGAGCCAACTTGCTCAGTACACAGTTCTCAAATGAGTCTCATCAAGTTGCATGTTGCACCATGTGTCGTCGCACCACATGTCACGCATCTTCGAAGTAGATCCTCCCTATGGGTAACAAGAACAAGTCAATGCATTCCGTACAATATGTAGGTATTTGTTGCATATGGCCCATTTGATTATATCCTGTTATTTAAAACATTCATAACGAAAAATATAAGGAAAATAAGTATAATAGCGAGGCATGGCTCAAGTAAACAAGTCTAACGTTTACTTTTCAATGAAGAAATCCATTATACACATGAAATATCAAACAACTGTCTGTCAGAATGCATAGGGCAGAGTGACATCTTTTACTGTTATAATCTGTTAGTCACTCTGAAGTATTTTTCCCGTACTTCCTGGAATTGACTTGTATTTGCAACTAACACAAAATCGGCTAATTCCTAACCAATCCTTGCTAAGCAAACTACTTCTAAAAATTAGGATTTAAGTAGCACTCAGTTACACAAGTGACAGCTTTTCATACAATATACCCTTTGCTTCCTTTCCCTGAACCTGCATATTTCAACCATAATGATTAGGAAACATTTTAATAATAAGTGATAGTGCAAAGAGTAAGTCAGGCATCAGTGAAAGGCAAGCGTTAGGTGTTTAAAAGGTTAACTGAAAAAACTTCAGAATTCTCTCTGAAAGAACTAGAAACAAAATATGAAATCTGAGTATCATTCAAATACAACTGTTTGTGCTTCATGCTAATGTGCAAGATAAAGCAGATTACATCTAATGTACCTTAGATCGTTATTTCTGCTGTACACTAACTACATAATTAACTCCAGAGAGCTGAGTCACTCAAGTCACTGAAGCTACCCAAGAAATTCCTACCTTCTTTTGAACCTGACCATTCATTACTGCGTCTCAAGTGCTCAACACTGGTCCTTATCCTGAGATGAATGAATCCAGTCCACACCCTTCCATTCTATTTCTTTAAGATCCACTTTAATATTAACTCCACATCTAAACCAAGGTCTACTTAAGGATCTCGGTGATTTCTTTAGGTACACTGTAGATATTCTTCAGTTCTATGGAACTATCATCAATGCACTTTTCATATCAATCACACTTGTTACATTTATCCAGTTATGTTTTTATGGGAACACAAAAACAGGAAAACAACAAATTAAACATGCTAAACCTTTGCAGTCCACCATCATGCTACACAAGATTTTACTTTTTTCACTTTCCTTCCACTGTCATACTATACATGTTTTCTTTTCTTCGGTCCAGTCCATTCTCATACTGGACAATGATATCACTTTGGTGCTATTATCTGCTGGAGGAACACTTGAACTAATAATTTCTACAACTGTCAAGGGATAATATGACATTTACAAAAGCAAAATTAAGAAATAGATGAGCCTGCATATACCTTTAACAGCAATGAAAATGGTTTCACCTTTAAAGAGAGTTAGACTGTTAAATTTAAACATAATTATAAATTAAAGTGCTGAGTTCTGATGATAGTGACTCTCAAGGATTTGATGTAGGAAGTGATGCTGACAAATATGAGTGTGAGGCAAGCAAAAGAGAAGAAGAAAACAGAGATAAAGATGGTATGTGTGAAGAAAACTTGTGGTTGTGTTTATGTGGTCTGACAATAAAGTTCACGAACTGGCCACCATGCTCTTGCTATGGCAGCAGTGGACAGAATCCTCAGTATGGTTTCAAGATGCTGGCATAGCAACATTTCACATCTGTGCTGTTGTTAATCTATGACAGTCTCTGAGTACTGTCTATTCTTGTCTGAGTGTGTTTAGGTGTGCCGTCAGAGCTTGAATCAGAGAAAAGATCGAACATTAAATTTCTTGTTAAACTCAGCAAGAGTGGAAACGAAATCAGAGATATGTTACTGCAAGTTTATAAGAATACTGCTATGAAGAAAGCAGCAGTTTAGAAGTGGGTGAAACGTTTTTGTGAGGGAAGAGAAAGTGTTACTGACAAAGAGAGATCAGAGAGCCAGCAATGAGCAGAACTGAAGAAAATATTACAAAAGTTTATCAAATTGTACGTGAAAATCGTCAGCTGACTGTCAGGAGCAAAGGAATAAAACATTGACAGAGAAACAGTTAGGAAATTCTTAACTAAAGATACTGAGATGAGGAAGGTGTGTGCAAAAAATGACAATGCACATGCTCATTTGGCACTGTCTGTGAGGAGTTTTTAGCTAATAAATGAATAACTGTGCTGGAATACTCCTCTTATTCACTGGATCTAGCCCCCAATGACGTTTCTTCTGTTACTGAAGATAACTGAAGTACTGAAAGGAAGGCATTTTGATGACACTGATGACATCAGAGTAACACAACAGCTCTGAAGGCCATTCCACAAAACAAGTTCCAAAATTGTTTCGAAGGGTGGACTAGGCGCTGGCATTGGTGCATCACTTCCCAAGGGGAGTACTCTGAAGGCCGCCATGGTTGATATTCACAGCAATGAGGCATGTAGCACTTTTACCACGACGAGTTCTTGAAATTTATCGTCAGACCAAGTATACAAACCACTATGATGCAAGTTACAACTCTGGCAGAAAATCACTGAAGTGGCACAGAAAAATGTTTTTCTGGCTCTTAATTATGACTGGTGCAAATCAGCTTCATACTGTTCATTACACTGAAAGTCGAAATTTAGAAAACAGCCGATTAACCATTTAACTGTATTATTTTCTCACCAGTTTCATAAAATAATGCAATTTTAAATAAAAATATGGGGAAAAACTGCAACAAAAGTGCATTTTCATAGCTCAGTGGATGAAGTCAAACAATGCAGTGAAAGTAGATTATTTCTTGGTGTGGACTAAAGCCATGTCACACTACATGGTGCTCAACAAATGTTCAACTCAGTCAAGTATCACAGCAAAATGGTCACAGATGGTGAAAATGATCAGGAAAAAAACTAAAATGGGAAAACCATCTGCGATACAAGACAGAGAAGACTGTCTGTAAAAGATTCCTCACTTTTCACAGAAAAGAGGAACAAGGAATGTACTATTGAAATGAGGGGAACAAGCATGAAGGAAAACTAGACTATTTTTTGCAGAATGTGTACCACAAAGACACCAAGACTTCACCCCACAGCATGCTTCAAGAGGCACCATACTTTCCAAGAATACAGTGTGGCATATGATTATTAGTCGCAAAACACTTGTATTAGCAATAACACTTATACAGTGTGATTCAGAAAGATGGACACAATTTCAATTGGCTATATTTCCTGATCTGTATGTTGCATTTGAAAGAGGATGTAGTAAAGTTTATAATGCTACCGCTAGAGCACTCCAACACTGCGTCAGTTGTAAGCGATTGGCTAAAATGCAACACAAGATTTTTTGCATTTGTGAGTTCAGTAAAAGTGAGTCTGCGACTGCGGTGCAGCGTGCATTTCCTCGTAAGTTTAACATCCAACCTCCAACGAGGAAGAGCATTTATCGTTGGAATAAACAATTTGATGAAACTCGTTCTCTGTGTAAGGTCAAAAGTCCGGGCCAATTGCGTGTATCGGAGGAGAACGTGGAGCACATTGGAGTGAGCTTGGAGTGTAGCCCAATGAAGTCAACCCGTAGTGCTAGTTGAGAACTTGGACTATCGCAAACAACTGTCTGGCGTGTATTGAAGCGCCGGTTAGTGTACAAACCATACCACCTACAACTGGTACAGGCTCTTCGCCCAAACGACAAGGTAAAGCGTGTAGAATTTTGTGACCGTATGCTCAAAAACATGGAAGATGGATTGTTTCTGCCTCGTGTAATTTTTAGCGATGAAGCTATGTTTCACCTAAGTGGGAATGTCAACAGGCACAATGTTCATATATGAGGGCTACAAAATCCCCGTGTAACACTCGAACATGTGAGGGACAGCCCAAAAGTTAATGTGTTCTGTGCAATATCGTTAACAAAGGTTTATGGACCTTTCTTTTTTGATGAAAACACGGTTACTGGAGTAACGTATCTTAGAATGCTGCAAAACTGGCTTGTTCCTCAAATGAATGGAGATTCAGGAGATTACATTTTCCAGCAGGACGGAGCCCAACCCCATTGGCACCTGAATGTTCGACGTTTCCTGAATGAATCTCTACCTCAACGATGGATAGGTCGCATGGGGAATGAAGACCTGGCGCGTCAGTTCTGGCCACTTAGGTCTCCTGATCTCACACCCTGCGAATTTCTCCTGTGGCGATTCGTGAAAGATGCAGTTTACGTACCACCTCTTAACACAAATTTGAATGGCCTAAGAAACCATATCACAGCTGCGGTGAACTCAGTGACGCAAGATATTTGTCATCGAGTGTGGGATGAATTCAGCTACCATCTAGATGTTATCCATGCAGCCGGAGGGGGGCACATTGAACATCTATAAACTTCCATGTATGTATAATCAAATGTAACTTACAGAATTCAAATGCAACATACAGTTCAGGAAATATAGCCAATTGAAACTGTGTCCGTCTTTCTGAATCACTCTGTATAACAATTTCATGTATCTGGTGCTGCTGTATGTGTCAAATACTGTATGTTGGACTGCAAAAGATTAAAGATAATTCAAGTTCACTGGCAACAGCTGACAAGTTACCAACATTTTTGTGCTTTTAATCAAAGTGAAACCATATGCTATGTGTGAGTTTCTTAAACATAAGGCATTATACACAATTACTAAGTGCTTTTGAAACAGATCATACTGTTCAATTTGTAATATTTTCACAAAAGATGCAACCTGTAACATTTTCCACAGGTTAGAATATATGACTATAAAAAGACATGCATGTATGTGCTTTATTAATACTTAAAATTTATAATTTCCATTCTATAAAATCAAGATAAAAGTTCATAACCTGTGTAAAATTTTATTAACATTTTTAAACAGCGAGCAACCAGTCAATGGTCATTGTGATTACTTTGTGAACATGGTACAGTATAAAACAAATATACCACCAATTTACATATGTACCAGTATGTCAACTCTACTCACTGATGACTGACTTACATTCAATATTCTGCACAATACTTCTAACCACTCTATTGCATTGACCCTCTCATATCTTTGTTCCACTTTCTACCATGGCAACATTCACATTCAGACCTTTGGTTGATGCTTTATATTTCACTCGATGCCAAATGTGTTGGTTTCCTCAACAGCTAACAGAAGCTTTTCATATAAAATCTCAGGTGTTGGGTATGGCGGCAAATCCAGTCTGTTGAAGCAAGTGTGAGCTCTGGAAAATAAGAATTAGAATAATTAATGAAATGACAAGTATGGCACTACTGTAACAGTTCAAAGTATTAATCAACATGTAAAACTATGAGAGAAGCTTCAACATGTTTCGTTCCAATGTAAGTACATAAGTTATTACTGCAAGCACATGTCATCATTCAATACAGCAAACCTGTGCTTGGAACAGACAGCTCTCTGACTGATCTGAATTTTATGTAAATTGGAGATGAAAGTAACTTCCACAGGTTACATTAATATTGTACTGCACACTGTCACTGTCTAAGATATGTATGACGTATATCATATTTCAGGAGTTGGCTCTTTTCCCTTCATCAGATGACTTGTTGTCATCATTTAAAAACATCTGTTATTATTTTCTGCATTTGTATATTAGTGGCAACAGCTGGAATTAAACCCTTACCTTTCAGTATTATGTTAGTATACTAACTACTACATTAATCTAGCTTACTAACCTACTATTTATAAAAGCCCAGGTTCAATCCCAATAATCACCACTAACATGAGGAAGAGTCATTAAACAGGACACAAATGGAAGTAAAACAGCTGTAATGAACCTGATAGGTTTCCTATGTGCATCATTAGGTAGCAGCAGCCTCATAACAAGCCTAGGTAGCAGATGTGCATGCACATGTTCAGAGGCTGGTTTCAGTAGTCAAAATGGTGACTATGCTTGAGGAGTGTGCTAGCAAAGAGTGGTGTCCTGTTCAGCGTTTTCTGTGGTCAAGACTCAATGCAAAGGATATTTATAAAGAAATGTTGCCTGCCTACGGTTGGAAGTGTTTGTCATGTAAAGTGGGACACAACTGGTCAAGAAATTCTCTCAAGGACGTTCAAAAGTCATAGATGATGCCTGACCTGGTCACCCTGTTGAGAATGCACCTGAAGCAAAGATTTCTGTGCTGTGGGTTTTAACGCACTGGTAAAGCAATAGGACATGTGTACCAATGTTGGTAGAGGATACATCAAGAAATAAATGTTTATTCCAGGTTTGAACAACACATGTTATACATTCTATATCCATTTGTGACTTGTTTACTGACTTTCCCTCATTTAAAAACAACAGAGAATTATGACAAATCTGTCACTAACAAGAAATCACCTGAGGACAAAAGTAGAGTCAGATCCTGAAATTTCACATATGAGGTATATCCACAAAATAAGTTCCATTTGCAAATACTGCCACTGCAGCACTGCGGTCACCATGGTGTGCATGCTTGCACAGTTTGTTGGTCATTTTGGAAGGCACAGATGCCATTTGCAGACAACTGAACTGAATTTATGCATCGTCCTGTGTGTTTACAATGTTAAAGAAAACTGAGAAGCTCTCTGAATGTGAAATGCAGTCTGTAATCCATTTCATCAATGCAAGAAACATGAAACCGGCTCAAACTTTGTGAGGTATATGGCTGGAGAACATGTCATGAGTGATTCAATGGTAAGGAAATGGGTGAGACTCTTTAATGAAGGACGCAAAAATGTTCATGATAATCCCTGGAGTGGCTGACCGTCTGTTGGTAATGAAGATTTTGTGTGTGCAGTGGAAGATTCAAGAGAACAGATGATTCACCATTCTGACACTTTCCCTACATTTTCCACAAATTTCACCATCACTTCTTCATAAAATTATGTCTGTTAAACCTCGTTTTTGAAAATTGTGTTCACACTGTGTGCCGAAGAGGCTTACGGATGAACACAAAATGAAACAGCAGGCCAGTGCGTTGACCTTTCTGACACAATACAGTGCCTAAGCTGACAACTTCTTGAGCCACACAGTCACAGGGGACAAGATATGGGTGTGGCACGTAACCCCTGAATCGAAGCAGCAGTCCATGGAATGGAGGCACACATCATCGCCAATAAAGAATAAATCCAAACAGACCATTCAACTTGCAAGATCATGTGTAGTATTTTGGACAGAAAAAGCGTTCCGCTTGTGGAATTGTTGCCTCAAAGCTCAACAATCAATGTAGGTGTCTATTGCAACACACTTAAGATACTGCATCGTGTGATCCAGAACAAGCGACGTGGCATGCTTAGTAGGGTGATGTAATGCTTCATGGCAATATCCACCCACACACTGCCACCGCAATGCAAGATCTCATCATAACATCTGGCTGGGAACAATTTGATCATCCCCCCCTACAGCCCAGACTTAGCACCAAGTGATTTTCATGTGTTCCTGCATCTGAAAACTTTCCTTGGTGGCCAGTGGTTCCATGATGACGAGGTCAAAGAAGCTGCTAACACGTGGTTTGCATCACAGGTGGCATCATTCTATGATGCAGGGATACAAAAACTGGTGCACCGCTACAAGTGCCTTGACAATGGTGGAAAATATGTCAAAAAGTAGCATATGGTATGTACATAAAATGGCAATATAAATTGTTTGGAAATAAATTCTTGTTTTGTTCTTTTTTTCAATAGCCCATCAGAACTTACTTTCTGGAGAACCTACATGCATTAAATATACCTCATGCAAAATGCTATGTCCAATATAACATTGGTATAATGAATCAACCACTGTCACAGACCTTTAGAAAATAACTTTCCATGGACTGATATACACAGGTAAGTCAATAAGTTACAAATAGATACAGAACTTAAATATGAGTACTGATTTAAAAAATGCTTTTATTTCTTAACATAATCTCCCTGTACATTGAGGCACTTGTCCCATCGTTTCACAAGCCCCTGAAAACCAGCAGCATAAAATTCTTTGGGCTGCTGTCGGAACCAGGCGGGGACTTCCCTTTACAGGGAATATTTACATTGTAAGGACGTTACAGTAGGAGTCGGCATTTATCCCTTTACAGGGAATATTTACATTCTAAGGATGTTACAGTAGGAGTCGGCATTTATATAAATGCCGACTCCTACTGTAATATCCTCAGGAAACTTCATAAGGCCATTCAACGGAAGCGATCAGAACTCCTCATCAAAGGAGTGCTGCTCTTGAATGACATCACACATCCGCATACTGCCAACAAGACAAATGAGATGCTGCAAATTTTCAAGTGGGAAGTCCTCGAGCATCTTCCATATAGCCCCAACCTTGCTCCAAGCGACTTCCATTTGTTCAGCCCTCTTAAACATCATCTTTTGGCTGAACATTTTCCCGACGATGACGCTGTAGAAAGGGAAGTCACGCCTGGTTCTGACAGCAGCCCAAAGAATTTTATGCTGGTTTTCAGGGGCTTGTGAAATGATGGGACAAGTGCCTCAACATACAGGGAGATTATGTTGAGAAATAAAAGCATTTTTCAAATCAATATTCTTATTTGTTTTAAGTTCTATATCCATTTGTAACTTACTTATTGACTTACCCTCGTATGTAAATCACAACAAGTTTCAATAATAAATACTCAGATTATACAGTGAAATTTCATCATGACACAAATCATGAGATACCCATTTATGGAGTCTGTTATATAAGAGATTTCAAAGAAAAATCATCTTAATTCCTTTTTTCATTACCTCTAATTCATTTTATGTTTACTGCATGATTTAATGTTCATTGTCTATTATGATACTTAAAATGTATACTCAAGTTTACAGTGTACTGCAATAGCCACAGTTTTACAAAGAAACGAGAGACCATTTTTTCAGTTCTGGATTCAAATGCTGTTTCTTTTTTGGAAATCTAGTATTTTGAACTCAGGGATAGATTTTGTATGATCTGTAACTTGGATTGCTACAAATCTCTACATATGTTTACTAATACTGGCAGCAAGAAATTAATTAAGTAAAATTTAGATTTAGGAGGATAAAATCAGGTTAGGTGTTAAAAACATGGAATTCAACTGGCAGATAATTATATTTTTGCTATGGAAAAGGGAACGATAATCATTACTTACAAGTAATGTATGCCTATAATACAAGGTTGCCTGTACAATACTATTGCTCTGAATGTGCACAGCTCCACTGAAAATAAAATGAATGATACAAAGGATAGCATTTATGAGGAACCTGGGGGTGACTTCTGTCAATTTCCTGTGTGCCACATGTAGCAGAAATGAAAAATATATACAGCATGTTAGTCAGAAAGCCTGAATTTGTAAAACATTTTACAGAACTATGCATAGATGAGAGGATAACATCCAGATGGAAATGGACCTTTACCGGCCCAAACCAAATTCCATTTCCTGTGATATGTACCTGCAGAATGCATTTACATGGAAATCTACTGACCATGGGTATGGGAAATTTAAGAGTCTTGTATGATAAGGCTTAAAAGAAAAGTGCATGAGCATGGACTGCCTCAGGACAGAGATCAGAGGCAAGCTCTTTGGGGTTCATAAAAGGCAACAAATTTCTTCTTGGATTTGAGGTTATCAAAACAATGATCATGAAAAGTATTAGCTCCTGGGTGAACTTCTACCAGATGACATGGCATCACATCACAGAACATAGTACTCTTCAAGAAATGTCTTGACTGGATGACCCACTATCAGCTCCTAAGTAAATACTCTGATAAATGGAGTCAGCAATATGGAAGGATTGAAATTAGTTAAATTCATACAATGCTATCTGTACTAAGAGAAAATATGATAAGCAGGGGTCTCCTGTGCTATAGCTCTGTCCCTCAGGGATCCATCTGAATAACAAAACCACTGAACTAATTCCAATAATGCAAATGCTGTTTATTCATGCAGTTTCAATTTTCAGTATAAAGTCATTTCACATATCCTGAACTCACTTCAGTTTCTGAAAACAGCCTTTGTACTAAAGAATAATTAGTGGCTGAATTTCAGCTCCTCAAAGGAGAGTTTAAAGCTTACATTTTAGATACGTCACTTTTGTCAAAGCACTGCATTCTGAAGGCAAATCCCATTTGTGGAGCTTCATGTTATTTACTTATTTATTACAGTTTATCAAATGATGCTGTCAGTAGCTCAGACTATGCTGCACTGAATCATAATTCATGGAGTACAAAGCTCAATTTGGGATTCAGAACTTTAAACACCATATTTAGAATAGGGACTTGGATGTAATAGTAATAATATAACCACCCTAATAATGTACCTCGGTAAACTGTTTGGTTTCCCCCATTTCTCAACACAGAACTTTCTAGGTCCAGTACTACCCCTAAGAGCTGCAAATCCCTCATACGGAATACTTGATGTTCCAGTAACAAACTGCAGTAATCGAAGTCGCTGTTCATTGCTGAACCGTTCAATGGCAGTCCAGAACCACTGTATCACAGGATGATTGTCATGATAACCTAAATCAAAAGAATTAACATCAGTTTTATGCAACCTGTTATATATATACAAGGTGGTTCAAATATGACTGGGACTGATTTGTGTGTAAAATAAACTGCACTGTGCAGCAGCTGTGCGACCTTGGGAGAGTGAAGCCACAACCTCCACCCTCCCTCCTGTTCGGGTTAGAACCTGTTCAGTCCTGTCTGGGAGTTGCCAGAGTAATGAGCGAACAGAAGTACCGTGGACCACGGAACAACACATTGTGATCAAATTCCTCGTTGGAGAAAACGTCCCATCCGCTGAAATTCACCACAGATTCCAATAACACCCATGTGTTTGAGTGGTGTAAGTGCTTCAGAGAGGGCAGAGAGCGCGTGGAGAATGAACCGCATGATCGTCGGCCGCGAACATCCGTCACCGAGCCAAACATTGATTGTGCAGACACACTTATTCGTGAGAATAGGCACATCACTATCAAGGAACTTGGAGCAATGCTGTCCATCAGTGTTGCTACTGTAGAAGACATCGTGAAATACCACCTGCACTATTGCAAGGTGAATGCATGGTGGGTACTGTGCACTTTGAAGGATGTGAACAAAATGGTGTGCGTGCAAGCTGCCAGACGTCTCCTACAGCAGTTTGAAGTCAAAGGTGATGCATTTTTGAAGTCTATAGTGACCACCGATGAAACATAGGTGCATTACTTCATTCCCAAGTCCCAGCAGTCATCACGCGAGTGGTGGCGTACAAGTTCTCCCAAACCCAACAGAGCACAGAGGAGCCGTTCGGCAGGAAAAGTGATGGCAATGTTCTTCTGGGACCAGCAAGGGGTTATCCATGTAGACTTTCTGACAGACGCCAGAAGAGTCAATGCAGCTTAATACTCACACCTCCTGGCAACAGACGTGAAGGAAAACAACCAATCCAAGTGGAAGGCAGGTGGAAAGTGGGTAGCCTTCTTTCAAGAAAATGCACACCCCCATATGGCCAAAACAACACTGGAAACCCTCCAGAAATTGACATGGAACCTACTGACACATCCACCGTAGTCCAAATTTGGCCCCAAGTGATTTCTACCTGTTCAGTAGGCTCAAATCAGACTTGAAAGGCATGAGGTTTGTGGATGGCGCCATCATCCAGACTGTTCGGAAGTGGATACACTGCCAAAAACAAGCCTTTTTTTAAAAGGGCATCCGGATATTGGAAAAATGTGTTGACTCCAGAGGGGAGTACATTGAAGACTGATATGTGCAGGTAAGTGTTTGGCAATTATGTTAAAAAAAATCAGTCCTGGTCATATTTGAACCACTTTGTATGATATTAAGGTTTTAGTGGTGTCACGCAACATTTTGATTATTGTATAATAAAACAGTTGATATTAAGCAAAAACAATAACTCAGTTTATATTAATCACACTATATGTTTTGGTCTCTTCTGATTATGATCAGGCGTGAAAGAATAAAAACAATAAATAGCCAATGTTTTAGCTGAAATAAGTGATGAAAATAGGATCCATTTTTCAACATTATATTATTAAAAGCTGTGCGGGAACATCCCACATTATCACGCATTTCTACAACGCTCGCTCTTCACATCACTTTTCACCATCACGCGCACTAACCAATCAGATTGCTTCAAACGTTCGCATTTATACTGCGCTTGCTGCTAGCCCACATCTACGAAATTACACATGCTAGCCAATCAATTCTTCCTCCTCAATTTCAAGTTTCGCTCCGCCCACCGAGCAGTGTATAAAAATGGGCGGTTCCAATGCCGAGTCATTCAGTTCATCATCAGTCTACTAGCTAGCCACACCAAGCAACATCAGCCATCAGGCTTCGTTGCCAGCGCTCGGTCTACGGAGGCATTGGCGCTTCGCTGCGCCAGGCATGACTGCCACGGCTGTCTGCCAGTCGCACCCGACTCACTGGGCAACTAGGCCGCACAGACTCGCTGGTAGTCATAACTGACACACTGGGCAACTGGCGTAGCTACCGCCTCTCCGCTCCAGCGACCGTGCTCAATGACTAGCCCTTCACCAGCCATTCACCTTACCGGCGCGCGCCGCGCTACCTCTCCGATCAAGCATCTCAGCAACCACGGTCCTTTTCAGGGCCAACAAACTGTTCCGAAGAAGTGGGTTGTCATCGGAGTAATGACAAAACTACAAATTAAGAACCCCACAGCTGTTTACATGTTATGAGTTAAATATACTGTGACGTAATATTATATTTAAGCATCCTGTTACACTCACACAATATATATGAGACAAACTCCATCTTAAGTGCAACAATTTAATTGTAGTTCTTTCTTCTTCCCTTCCTCCACACTACATGTTCCAGCCCTAAATGGCCATCATCAGGTGTGTATTCTTACGTAGCTGCTACACTGCCCGTAGTTTAAAATTTAAAATCACCAGTCTTTCCAATTGTATGTATATATAAAATCTTTGTTAACATACATGCGTCAATTTGATTTCTAAAATTGGCACTTTTTTAAAACTTCAATTCAAATTAAAATGTCTATAAATTTTCTGTTCTTTTTCTTTTTCCAAATTTTTAAAAATTAAAATTTTCTCAGGGTACACGCCCTATGTCTATAGTGCTGCAGCGGCCACTTCTTGTTTTATCGCTGTTCAGGTATTGTCTGTAATATACAAATATTCATATTACTATCTTATGTTATGTTATGTTATTTTATATGTTTATACTGTTATTTGTACTTACTCTGTGTAGACTCTCTCTGTGTTTGTCGCTGCTTATCTTTAATACATGTGCTGTCTGGTGTATTGTGTACTGTGTTTTATGTTGTTGAGTGTTGGAAGGGGAATGGGTAGTGGGGAGAGGGAGGTACCATTAGTCTGTATAGATTTCGTGTATCGTTTGAACTATGGGATTGTATGTTTCTATGTGTGTACCATTCATGTGTAGGCCCTTCTTACTTATTTTATATATATGGTATTTCTCTAATGTATTCAAATGTCTACCCTTCTTTCCTGTTGTTATAACTTCCATTACGTCTGTTATTGTACCGTATGCATGTCCTGTATTTAGTATGTGATTTGAGTACTGTAATATTTGTATATTACAGACAATACCTGAACAGCGATAAAACAAGAAGTGGCAACTGCAGCACTATAGACATAGAGCGTGTACCCCGAGAAAATTTTAATTTTTAAAAATTTGGAAAAAGAAAAAGAACAGAAAATTTATAGACATTTTAATTTTAATTGAAGTTTTAAAAAAGTGCCAATTTTAGAAATCAAATTGACGCATGTAGGTTAGCAAAGATTTTATACATACATACAATTGGAAAGACTGGTGATTTTAAATTTTAAACTACGGGCAGTGTAGCAGCTACATAAGAATACACACCTGATGATGGCCATTTAGGGCCGAAACATGTAGTGTAGAGGAAGGGAAGACGAAAGAACTACAATTAAATTGTTGCACTTAAGACGGAGTTTGTCTCATATATACTGTGACATGTTGAGCTATGGATGACCCCCCCCTGCCAGCCGTGACGCGCCGAGCAGAGCCAAAGTTAGCCGAGTCCCAGCATCCTGGTAGCTATGCAACACGAGTCAACAGCAGTGACGTCACCAAGGGATACAGCGGTTGCTAGGCAGCGCGGGTAAACAGTGGTTGTGAGAGACGACGGTAATAACAGCAGTACACAGCATTGCTAGCACGGCTGCGGCAGACAACAGTGGCGCCTATTACGTGGCTGTTTTCTGTGTTGTCCGGAATGAGGCTAGATACGGAGCAGCGAAGACTATTCACAGTAAGTTCCAAGCAAGCCTACGAGCGAGTGTGTGAGCAGCATTTACGAGTTAGCCAGCAGCCAGTCAGTTGTATTCTGGCATTTGCAGTGTAGTATTTGTGATACTGCCGATGGCAGTAATTGTCAGATTGTAATTTGGGTGATTGTAAGTGTGAATGTGAAATAAAATTCGCTATATTCAATACGGCGTGAAGTTATTTGTTGCATTATACACCCTACACGCGACAACTGGTGTCAGAAGTGGTTACGAACTTACACGCGTGACAATACAAACACATACTTGCAATGATAGAGAGTTATTAAAGTTTATAAAATGTAGCCTAGATGGTGGTTGCAGTGTGCTATGTTTCTATTTGTTTATTTATTTATTCATTTTTAAGGGGGGGCTAAAATAAATAACTTCATACACAATAACCAATTCATAAAAATTGACAAAAATCTGACCCAACAATACCAAAGGGCAATAAAACAAACACTGAAACAGTGTAATAATATCATACAAGACAAGTGGAAATTTACGAATATGAACCCCACGGCCCCAAACCTACATGCCACAATAAAACTACATAAACCTAACACACCATTAGACCAATAATAAACTGGAAGAACGCCCCAGCTTACGAAATGACAAGGAAATTGGCGAAAGTATTGCATGATTATCTATAACTACCAAACACATACAATGTCAAAAACTCCTCCCACTTAATGACAGATTTACAAGCTATTATACTTAATGAGAACATGCGACTAGGTTCCTTTGACATTGAAAACATGTATACAAATATACCGAAAACTAACACCATAAATATAATAAACACTATATTAGGAAAAAACCATGAAATAAATAAAGAAAGCCACAAAGAAATAATACGTATGTTAAAAACAGTATTTGAACAAAATTATTTCCAAATTGACGAAGAATACTACAAACAAACAGATGGACTTGCTATGGCAGCCCCAACATCAGCTTTAATAGCAGAAACATATTGTCATGTGTTGGGTGTATAATGCGACAAATAATCTCACGCCATATTTGATATAGCGAATTTTATTTCACATTCGCTCTTACAATCACACAAATTACAATCTGACATTTACTGCCATCGGCAGTATCACAAATACTACACTGCAAATGCTGGTTGACTGCCTGGCTCACTCGTAACTTGTAACTCAAGAACTTGAGAACTCAGAACTAACTGTGAATTCGTAACTTGAGAACTCGAGAACTGTTGCC